ACTTTTCATGCACATTATACTTTTATCACTTGGGGGTCGTGTGTAATTTTCGGGTTTTATGTTCTGGGGTCGGGTACCCGGGACTTTTGACCCCTTTCGGAGCACTAGTAATGAGCCTTTTTATAATGAACTCTGAATATAACGAACGAACTAAAAATTTTAAAGCTTATATAAGTTCGGCATATAGAGAGTTGACTAAATTACATATTTCAAGAAAATAGAAAATCTATAAATTACAGGACAGTTAATGAAATACATGGTGAAAATTTTTATTCAAAAAAAAAAAAAAATTTACGGGCGTTGAATAAAAGAGATTGCTGTGGTTGATTAATGCGCCATTAACTTGACACGCATTCAAGAATTGCCGTAATTTGTGATAATGAGTTATTGTACGTACGAAAGAAATAAATATCATAGTAAAATTATCAAATCAATCTCAGCCGTCAGCGGCCACAATTAACAATATTTAAAATCTGTTAAAAAACATTAAAAACATTAAAAAACGTTTGCTTAATACTGTATCCGTATGATGATCAAAACGCGTGCGACAGCTGTTACGTATTTATTTAATCACATGTTATCATGGAGAGTCGAGTTTGGTAAGGTGAATATTATTTAATCAATGTTAATTTTAAAATTAAAGAATAAACATGCATGGATAATCAGGGACAAGCCTAAAAAGCGTTAGTACGTTTATTTGTAAAATTCTGTGCATTTACCCAGTAAATCGTTAAACCTTTAAATAAATATAACACCAACTTTTTAATCATCGTATTAAAAAATATCGCATTGGAGTTTGGGGAGCAATTAATTTTTTTTCACTTGTGCTATCGAGTTGAGGTGCAGGCGAATTGCCGTAACTAGTCGTAACGTAATAAAATGCCGTAACTCATTATAATTATTACATATTACAGAGATGGTTACGACAAGTTACGGCATGATTTGGACGATTCGCCTGCATTACTACTATCGAGACATAAAGTTGTTAAGGCACTTTAGGTAGCGCACACTAAAATGTTCATTAAGTCAAAACAACACTTTTTTTTAAAGCTAATAAAACCGAGTTATAATCAGGTTAGAGTTAGAAAAATGTAGCGTTTATTAGTAGAATTTCACAAGGTACGTTTTAATTAGATTGCAGAAGGTGGTTTCCTAATTAAAATTTAGAGCTATTCTTGTCCTTTTTTTTTTTGCAAAACAGTGGGTTCGTTTCGATTTTATGTTACAATTTTTGTAGGTATGTACAGTACGTTCGGGAGGTGTGCATATATGCTTCTATCCAATAAACATCAAGGAAAAAATGGACAGACACACTTGATATTGTCGATCACATCATATGAGTGCTGCCAAGAGAAAACCTGTAATTGTTACGTAGTTTTCCGGAATTTCATTTTCAGAAACAGCTTATTTCACAACTTTTATTATATGTAATAAATTGTATCTAAATTATCTATTTTATAGTACATTATGAAAGCATTATTATTATAAATAAAAATATATTCGTTACAAACTTCGTTTTGTTTGGCGAAACCTTTAATAATGGATGCGCTTAAAGTTTTTACAAATTGAAATCTTATTGCTATACAAACGTTAAGGAAAACGTGACTTGAGAGATAACGTAACGGGTCAACCGTTAATACCAGCCAGTTAGAATTTACTAAATAACAATTCGGCGATGAATTTTCTGATGCATTTAATCCGGGTTCCGAATCTAACACTGACAACTAGATGAAATACTGTAAATGGTGATAACTAATTGTAAAAATTATTAGTCTCTCAAATCCAACTTTTATTGGTAATAATAATTCATTTATTGAAGAACAAGGCAAGCGTATATTTGTGACTGTTATACCGTGTATAGTTCGAATTTCACTAAAGTTTCGCACTCGCTTGGCTAATTACGACGTTTCGTCTAATACGAAGCGCGGAACGACACACAACACACAGTGTATATATTAGAGAGTCTCTTTATTTACTGACGTAAAAACCCCTTTACTCTGCTAGAGATCATTGTCATATTTATGGTACATTCAGATAATCGATCATGCCATTATTAATGTTACAAGCCATAAGGTTTTATCGGCTAAACGGCTAACTAATGGCCAAAAATCATTTTTATCTTCGGAAAATTTCGGAGATTTACTCAAATTTTTATGTGTTCATTTTATTGCCGGAAATCTTCATGCCTTCTTAACGAATACCCTATTTAGTCAAATATTTAGACAATTCTGTTTCGAAATATATTTCAACGTGAGATTGTTTTTAGCCGAAATTTAAATTGACTAAATGTCTAAATAGTTGACTAAATAAATACTATATGACTAAATTGGCGATAGAGAGGGCTTGTATAATAAAAGTAACTGATTTTTGAATTGATAGTAATCCAGATCCAAGTTATAACATTTAGTATAGTGAATACTAATACTGTGTGAAAAAATGCACGTATAGAATGTGGAAAAATTTTCAAGCAAATATCATTTAGAAGTATATAATTAAGCCTACTTAATAGGAGCAAGCAACCGTTTTTGGATCAAATTTATGGTATGTGGCGTGAAATTCACAAAATAAGCAAGTTCGAATACTTTTTATAAATAAGATTAATTTAGACATTTCGACATTATTGGATTTGACATTATTTAGCAGACTAAATGTCAAATGTCGAAATATTTAAACAAACTCAACCAATTTTCGGCTAACAAACATTATGCCTCCTATTGCTTGGCGTTATCGATTATCGCTCCGGCCTAAATTATACGTTGCAACGCGTACGTTACACGAACCTGAACCTGAACCTGAACCCGTGACAATGTAAAAATTAACGTTATCACTAATATCTATGTATGTATTAGTGATAACGTTAATTTTTACTTACGAACGTACAGGTTCTCCCTGTGCAGCACTCGTATAATGTTAAGTTATAATATATAAATAGTTATGGCATAATATAAACAATACGGCAGATACACACGTTACAATACGCCTTAAATACAAAGTTGTAACATTAGTTACGATACGATACGATGTATCCCAATTCTTCGAGTTTCTGCTGCATCACGACTCTCAGAGTACATTATTATATGCCATTGTACACCATAGCCAAATAAATTTTGCAAGTTATTTTAAACATTTAAATTTTTTGGTTATAGTACATTTGTTAAGTGAGCTATTAAATGAGTGACACCAGGGGAAATGGGGCACAATAATATAAAATTTATATGATTTTCCCTTGACGTCACACAAACATAATTTGAATGAAAGTACTTTATTTTCTGACAGTAATACGTAAAAAATAAGATATTTCTGTATTTGGAGCCTTTTAACCTTCTCCCTTTAAGCAACGATTTGTTTTATTCAAATTTTCTGGTTCTAGAACCGTAAATCGGTGTGACGCAACATGTAATTTTAAAAATCTCGGTAAAGGGATTTCTATTTTAGTAATATGCACTACATATGGCATTTTATTGTTACTATCAGAATTTTAACAGATAAATTAGAGTTACGTGTACTATACTATGAGTTACAAACCCATCATTTTAACAAAATTTTTTTTACATACTATATAAGGAGTTAAATATAGGTTTAAAAAATACGGTTTTACTAGATAACACCAATGGAGTTCAACACCACAATCGTTATATCTCAAAAGCTAAACTAAGTAATCAATGCCGGGTGTTTTAAGTAATACATTCACTCCCAAAAACGTTATATTAATCTAAATTTAACCATTAATACTAACCCTTACCTTAACCTTTAACAGCGTCCTAAATTTACTAGCGAAACTATTAAAAATTAGATGTGGTGTTGAACACAATGGCGTGATTTTAGTGTTATTGAAAAATACATGCATTAAAATTTATCAATGTAAAAATGATATTATCCAAATATTTATAATTGAATTTACACAAAATTTTCCCCCTTTAAATTTTTAGATAAACGTAAAGTCCGTGTAACTATAAGAAAACATTTTTAATAGCATGGAATTTTAAAGCATCTCTCTTTAAAAATTTTCTTGTAAATATTATTACTATATTAATGAAGTCTAAAGATAACAACACACTCTCTTTAACATCTGAAACGTCTTCAATTCCAATGAAGAAAGTTCTATTGAAATATACTGATTATGATGATAGCGACTTTGAAACTTTTTTACAATTAAATACACATAAGATATTAAATGGAAGGAAATTTTTTAATGATGATGAAACAAAATATATACTACCATCAGATAAAAAAGAAGTTAACAGAGAGGCTATGTCTTATGCAATAAGAAAGCATTTGTTTCAAAAAAACTTTTTTTCACCTGTTGAAGAAAAGTTAAAGATGGGAGCTAATGTACTTGATGTCGGGTAAATATAATAATTTTATATTATCCTAAATTTTTACACATATCATAAACATTTACGCCGCCATTTAAAAGATGTGGTTCAGGTCTTTGGGTGGTTGACATGGGATTAGATTATCCATCTTCAACATTCATAGGAATTGATATAGATTCTGTTCAATTTCCTTCGTGTGATAAACAAACTCCAAATGTCGGTTTTCTTAAATGCAATGTAGCGCATGGAATTCCGTTTCCTCCTGAAACTTTTGATTTTGTTCATATGAGTATGATGTGTTGTGCACTTACTGAATCTCAATGGCATCAGTTAGTCAAAGATATTGTTAGAGTTTTAAAATGTGATGGTTGGATTGAATTCCTAGAAGGCGATCCGTGGAATAAAAATTTTGGTAAAATTGGAAAATCGCTAATTGAAACTAGTATGTATCCATCAAATACGTTAAATTTCGTCATTTCATTAATATTAAAATTATATTCACCTATTTTTATATTTAGCTATAGAAATTGCCGCGAAAAAGGGTATTAACCTTAATATTAATAAAATGATACCAAAATTTATCGACTCAATCAATGAACTTGGAGAATTAGAATATATTAACGCAGAATATCCATTAGGCGATTGGGGTGGATGTCTTGGTAAATTTGTAAGTAATAGCGGTTCTTGATATTATAATTTTCACTAATACATATTCTCTAAATTTTACTATATTTAATATTTGCTAATATTGTCTTATTTTATTTTCTCAGGCAATGACTAATATTCGGAAAGCACTTGAAGGAATTGTGTATATTCCAAAACATCTAGGGTTATCTACTAAAGAATATGATGATTTAATAACAAATTATGTTAAAGAGGCAAATGAAAATAGAACAGTAGGATTTTATCATATATATTATGCTAGAAAAATTATGTTAACTAACTATTATTAATAAGCTTTTATTGCTATAATTACTGTATTATTTATCTGTAAATTTAAATATTATTAATTCAATTGTATAGAATTTGAACCTTACAGTTAGAGTTGCAATCCGGATAATCCATCATCCATTTATCCATATCTGAATTTATCTGGATATCCATTTTACTATTGATATCCGGATAATCTGACAAATATTCGGATAATTATCCGGATAACAATAGTAAAACGGATATCCGAATAAATTCAGGTCCGGATATCCAATAGATAAATGGATAAACAGATAATGAATTGCAACTCTACTTACAGTATAGAATTTTTTAAAAATACTGTATATCTATATTTTTATATACAAAAAAAAAAGAAAAAGAAAAAAAAAATCGATTGCTACAGTACAAATCAAAAATATCCTCCCCCTCTCCGTAACTTATTATTATAAAAAATTTTTAAATAAACTTATAACATAAAATTAAAATTTAAAATTTTTATATTTATTACATTAATTTAATAAGATATTTGATGAGAAATTGAGCTTTAACCTAATCTAACCCTAACCCAGCCTTAATCTTAAGCAGCTCATTTTTTATTTATTAAAAAACTTATTTTGATTATGGTTATAACTAAATTAATTCAATTATTTTTACTATTTTGGAAAAGATTGGCTAGTGTTTGTATAGTCGATTTTTATCGACTTAGCCAGCTTAGTCAGCCGATTTTCCAAAAAATCGACTTAGTCGATTTTATGTTGAAAGTAACCAATCAGATTCGATACATTATACATAGTACTAAGAGTAAGGACTGAAAAATTCCGAAAAGAAAATCAACGAACATAAAAAATATTAATCGACTTTGATTTAGCCGGCTAAGCCGAATTTTAAATATCGACTTAGTCAAGTCGATAAATAAGGATCGACTACAAACACTACCGTACAGCGTAGACTAAATTTATAATACCCCTCTCGATTTTCAGAGGTCTAGAATGTAAAATACCCCAGGTACTAAAGACGGATTAATTGCACTTGGGAATGTAAAATACCCGGTACTAAAGATGGATTAATCACTTAGAATATATAAAACATTACTGCGGCACACATATAGTACAACTTATATCCCTACGCTGACCATAGTATCCCTCCGATTATAATACCCATATATACTGCTTAAATTGTAAAGTACTTTAGTCCACGCTGTACGGTACTTTTGCTCTAGTGAATATATATAGAATTAAAATATATAGTTTTCTATTTATTTTTAAAATTTTAGTTTTCTATTTATTTTTAAAATTTCAAAACAATAAACCTTCACAGTAACAATTTAGAGGGGATGAGATACTTTTAATTTGTACTGTAAAACTGATTACTGTCATTATTGTAAAGTAGTGCAAATATAGGATGTAAGGTTAAATTCAACAAATTCCTAATTTATTATATTTCGAAAATGTATGCTTTCTTTTTGAGTAGAGCTATTACTCTGATTAAGTTGACCCGTACGAATCAAAGATTTTTGGCAGATAAAACGAATATTTAAAAAAATGGATAAATTCTAGTGCACATAAAAAAATCCGGGAAAGGTTGGGTTAACTCCTATCTTCGAAATTATCATTAAAAAATATAATAAAAAATTTTTTTTACGAATAGAAATAGTTCAAACTGAATATTTGTGGTCTTTTATTAAGTATTATGTATACATATAATAATGCTATTTAAAAATAATATTGAAAATCAAAGACAATTTTGATATTGAAAAAAATTTATAAAAGATGCAATAGAAAATCCACGAAAAACTTGTTAGAAAATTTTATTTGCAAATATAAAACGCTCGCAATATGTCAACAGCGAAATTTGTTACAATATACCAGTATATAAATACTTTACGACTTTGTAGTAAAACCATTTCAACATTTCAATAGCTTCAGTAAAATGAATACAAATAATTTCCATTTTATATTCATAAACCTTTTCAATTTTTCATTTTTGTTTTCGATTTTTTTGATCCCTGTAATCATTGATATTATCAATTCTGGATCTCTCCAATTTCAATATACAATTGCTTGATTTAGGCCATCGTTAAAGAACGAGTTAGAATTTATAGATGAAATTCTAGCAGAAATTGAGGTTGTAGAATATCATATCCCTCCGTGTCACCATTTTAGTCTTATTTTGAGTATCTGACTAATTTGTGTTAGCATTAGCGTTAATGTGATGACTTCTGTGTACACAATAATAAATGTTTGCAACTTAAAAACAATTTTAAAGGTATGATAAATCAGTTATTTTACGCGAAGTGTGGGTGTAACTAAAAATCAAAACCAGATTAGACGATAGAACGACAAAATAGCACACTGGATGCGAAGCAGTGGCCATTCTGTTTTTATCTGGTCATCTAACTTTCAGTTATTGTCCATTTCATGAACATTAACATATACTTAATATTTTAACAATGTCTACATTAAACTAACAATTACAATCATTCAAGTTGACAGCAAGTCAACAGATCGAAAAGACAGCTAAGCAGTGATGCATTAGCAAGCGACGATCACATGGGTGATCCCGGCTCTAACAAGAGAATCCGGTATATGCAAGGAGGAAGATAAGTATAGATTTAATGAAATTACTAATTTAGGAGTTTATGGCGCGAATACTAATATAACCAAATTTAGCAGGAACGTATGACAATAACATAAAGATATAAAACGGAAGAGTGGTAGGGCAGCACAACGGCAGCCCTTTCAAGAGGCAAATCAATTTCGCATAGAGATCTCATTCGAAAAACATCTTAATTCATCAGAAAGAACCGAAGATTACTGATTTTGGACTATTAAAGCGATGTCTATGACCTCAAACTCAATATTCATGGAATGCCGGCGTATATCGAACCTCAATGTCTTATTAAGCATGGATATAAACGTGATAAGAGATCTGACGAAAATAGAAAAGAACCTATAGAATGGACACTATCTCAATATGTCGAACTTTACCAAAAATGTTGTAAAGCGATCCCGCCAGTCGTCCAGAAATAAGATTAATTATTAATCCTTTAAACCCAAATTATTCCTGATGTAACTTTGAGTCAATACCATCTTATCGAGACATTATCTGAGAATAGCGAAATTTCCTCAAGATGTCAAGGCGATATTAGTACATCTGAATCACTTTACTTACATGATTCAAATAAATCAGCGAATAACGGCTGTATCCTTGAGAATTTGAGAAAGAAAGCACATGAATTTTTTGAGCAAAGCAAATTTCTCAAAGCATTAAAACTTTTTGAAGAAATCTTCGAGAACAGCCAGCATAGCCCTGAAGATCAAAAAAAATGTATATATATATATGTGCTTTGATTTGGGACTTTTCTTCTAATAAATGTGGCTTGCTAAAATTAAGCAAACTAACAAAGGCACTTCACAAGAACACCATGTTGAAAGATTTGAATTTTCGAGAGAATAATCTTGGATCAGAAGAAGGAATAATATTAGCCGATACACTTTGCAAGAACTCCTCCTTAACAACGTTAAATCTCAATAATAACGATCTCGGTTTCGAAGGAGGAAAAGCATTAACCGATGCGCTTTACAAGAACACCTCCTTAACAACGTTAAATCTCAGTAGTGATAAAATTGGATCCGAAGGAGGAAAGCATTAGCAATACGCTTTGCAAGAATTCCTGTTGAATCTCAATAGTAATGAGCTTGTGCGCTTTGCAAGAACTCCTCCTTAACAACGTTGAATCTCAATAGTAATGAACTTGGATCCGAAGCAGGAAATGCGCTTTGCAAGAACTCCTCTTTAACAACATTAAATCTCTATGATATTAATCTTGGATCCGAAGGAGGAAAAGCATTGGCTGATGCACTTTGCAAGAATTCCTCCTTAACAACGTTGAATCTCAATAGTAATAATATTGGACCCGGAGGAGTAAAAGCATTAGCTAATGCACTTTGCAAGAACTTCTCCTTAACAACGTTAGATCTTGATTGGAATAATCTTGGATCAGAAGGTGGAAAAGCATTAGCTGATGCACTTCACAAGAACACCTCCTTAACAACGTTAAATCTCAATAGAAATGAATTTGGATCAGAAGGTGGAAAAGCATTAGCTGATGCACTTTGCAAGAACACCTCTTAACAACGGTGAATCTTAATAGTAAAGAACTTGGATCCGAAGTAGGAAATGCATTAGCCAATGTGCTTTGCAAGAACACTTCCTTAACAACCTTAGATCTCAGATATAATAAAACTTGGATTAAATCATTAGTTGAAGCATTTTGCAAGAACTCTACTCTAAAAGATTTAGATATTCGAAACAATAATCTTTGAGATGGAGAAGCATTAATAAATGCACTTTGCAAGAACACCACAATGCCGTCATTAGATCTTACTTCGAATGGGCTCAGGTCAGAAGAAGGAAAAGCGCATGTGCACTTTGAAGACCGATTAAATTGTACTTGAACCACCTAGAAGATTTAAATCAATCATAACGATCAGATTCATGAATGTATGGATATTAAGTCAATGTGGTCCAACAAAACGCAAGACTAATAAATTTGAAGCATCACAGAGTTTTAAACAATAATTAAAAAATGTATATATTTGTTATATGATATATATTCATTAAGTCAGCATGATGCTAATATGCATGATGAACAATTATGAAGGATCAACTGCAGACTTAAATAAATCATCAAAAATCAAGTTAGAAGATACATGGACATTAAGGATGGTTAATTATTATAATTGGAGGAAATTTAATATACATATTTTTGCATAATAAAATTTTGGCAAATTAATGTAAGAATCACCTCAATTAATTCCGAATAATCGAAGTGATTGAGTGGCATCTCAACTACCAGCACGTTACAACAAGAGTACTGTTTAAGAAATTAAGTTGAAATGGTACAACGTATCATATGATGAGAATAAGTCGAATAAAGTAATGCTTTCGCATGAAGTCAGTATATTGGAACTTATCGCATGGTGAATAGATATGATGAATCTTGTTGATTAGATAATCACTA